ATGTGTGTTATGTATTTTAAGTTTGAATAATATTAATTTTGGACATTTTAGAAAAGAAAAAAAGGGCCAATCTGTAAATTTTGTAGATAGAAAGTATAATTAGGAATATATGTAAAATAAGGAAAAGAGAATATACCGTATTTGGAATATTCTTCTTGGTGTAAAAAATGAAATAATACATTGGAGCAAAATTCAATTCCATTTTGGAGTTATACATTGGAGATGCTCTAACAACAGTCGCGAAAGGTTTTTAACTATTATAAAGACGTATCTTTCTCTTAAACCTCGAAGCCCTAATCCACCATAGACGGGAGAAGCCATTACCAATGGAAACCTTAATCAACACGGCACAACTTTGAGAGGCAATATTGACTGAGATTCTAGCGAAGTTACCATTGAGAATCATCTCCAGATTCAAATATGTTTGCAAAACATGGAAATCTACACTCGAATATGTCCTTTTCCGACGTTTCTTTGTGTCTCTCCACAAAAATTCATCTTCTTCTTGGTCGCTAATAAATCTATACATGGTTGAAGATTTGATACGGTATCATGGATGTGAGATATGGGATCTTCCAAAGTCTCCCACCTTCTTCCTTTGCTTTCCCTGATCTTGGAACCGGTAAATTCGGTTATAGACATTTTTCCGGTGGATTATTTTTAATGGAGGAAAGTGGTTATGGTATCTTTGTTGGTAATCCAGTATTACAACATTGGGTTAAAATCCCTTCTTGTCCATAAAAATCTGGTCCGTTTGCTTTTGTGACTCGTGTGGACGAGGATGGTGTCGTTTTGAGCTTCAAAGTGGTTAGGTTAAAGAGTGGATCGTTTAATAGTTTTGATGTTTACATGTATTCATCTGAGACAGGTGTTTGGACTTATAAAAGACTTCAGTCCCGTGCGTGGTACGCCTTGTCATCTTCTATGAGTCTCAATGGGATGCAGAAGACAAAGAGGGAAAAAAGCGAAGGAAAAAATGTTTTGTGGATTAAAGATGAATGATATCCTATTTATCGTTTGGTTTCTTTTTTTCTCTCATCTCCAATTAATAGAATTTTTATAAAGTTATCTGGCTTTCTCATTTTTATAGTGAACATTGTATTTCGATAATCGCTATCAACAACTACTCTAGGAGCTTCTACCAAAAAAAAAAGGTACTCTAGGAGTTTCCCAAGGATAAATATAACCATCACATTAGAGAACTGAACATTATCTCAGATATTAATTAATAAAATTTGTATCAGCGACAAATATTTATAGTAGGAAGCAAAAATTACATTAGTTTTTTCTTGAACAAGAGACAAGTATGTAGGAATTTGGATAAGATGCTAGGTGTGCTTGAGTCGGCAGTCGTCTTGAGTCAGAAACGCATAAAATTTCCTAACAGAGAGGGAAACAAGGGGAGAACAAATCTAACAGAATCTAACAAATCTATACGCATAAGTCGTCTTGGTCCAGTGGTGA